TGGTAGTCCTGAGTTTTGAGCTGCTGGTGGGAACAGCCTCCGAAACACAGCCCTGCTTGCTGCCCAGGCAGGAGTACCTTCCGGAGGGGCAATGGTGCGGGGTGGCTGGCTACAAAGGAGACCACCCTACCCAGCAGCACTGCCGCCCCCTGGGTTCTGTGGCCCAGGGCCGGGAGCTGCCGCCCAAGCCTGGGTGTTCAGCTGAGGGATGGGCGGGGCCAGCGCTGACCTTGCAGGTCACCCTGGAAAGGCTGGGGCCTGGCGCAGGCCTCTCCCGACGGGCAGAGCCAGGATGGATGTGCCGCGGTGTGCCAGGACCCACGCCCAGCAGCATCTGTCCAGGGAACAGGATGTGGGCAGCTGGGCTGAGGCTGGATAAGAGGGCCTCTCGGGCCCTGAGCAGTTCCAACGTTGCCTGATTTGCCTGAGATCAGGCCGCCCCATGGAAGTGGGTACCAGGCTTACAGATGGGTGCCTGAACCCCGCCATGCCCTGTGGAGAGGCACACAGGAGACACTGGGTGGACCTCAGGGAGGTTAGGGGGAGCCCAGAAGGGAAGGGGAAGTGGAAATGCACAAGGCTACCCGCTCACAGGCCCTGTGGCCAGAGCTGTCCCCTCCCGGCATAGGGTTCCTGTCATGGGCCCAGAGTCCCTGTGCCAGAGCTGTCCCCTGCAGGGAGAGGGTTACCGTGGAAGTGTGTGGCTGGTGTCAATACCCAAGCGTGGCTTTGTCTTCGTAGCTACACAGAGTGACATCTGCCAGCTGCCATTAAACATCTGCCTGCCCGAAGCCTCTGCTGAGGGCATGAAAGGGACGGCTAGGCGAGCCCCATCAGGCACAGGATGGGGTGCAGGTGCAGGTCTAGGCAGTCCCCTCTCCTTCAGAGGACAGGAGAGACGCCTCAGCATGGCACCACCCCACCCCTCGCTGTGTCCTCTGCCAGCTCCATTTCACCGTCCCTCAACCTCATCAGCCTGCCATGACGAAGGTGCCCGTCCTCAGCGTGGGTGACAATGGCCTCCCCTACACGATGAAATAACAGCCCGGGCCCCGTGCTGTCAACTGCCCCGGCGGTGAGAACAGCAGCCATGCCCGTCTCAGCCATGCTGCAGGGACCTGTGGATCCGAATGTGCCAAGGAGACCATGGGAAGAGACCCGAGAGTGCAGCCAGGGAGCCCCCGCCCTGAGCCCAGACGCGGCTGGCACTGCCTGCCAGGCCCACTGCCTTGCCCAGGGCAGCCCCTGGCTCCCAGAGTCACTGCTGGACATTCAGATGCCCCCGAGCCTGAGCCCCAGCGGAAGGCAGCTGAACACTCCAGGGGAATGAACACAGAGTGGGTAACTGAGGAAGGGGACCCAGAGAGGAAAGGGGGGCTGCTCAGGCCGCAGCGCCACCGAGTCCAAGGCTCCGGCTTCCTCTGCCCAGCCCACCTCCCGCTCTCTCCAGGAGCTAGCCTGTCTCACCCCCGTGGTAGGGGGTAGGGGTGGGGGTGTGGGGGAGGCAGAGGCTGGCGTTTCACAATCTCTAGCTCAGACACAAGGCCCCTGACAATGCGACTTGGGGATGCCTGGGCGTCACTCTTCAGGAGCTCCCCCTTCAGCCGGAGGAGAGCTGCTCTGGTCGCTTCACCTCCAGTGGACACCATGTTTTTCTTTCACCTCTGGGTGCACCCCACCCCCAGCTCATCTTGCTCCAGGGTCTGCCATCACTGCCGGCCACAGGGCGACGAGGAAGCTCCCTGCCCGCTGCAGGGGTGATGGCTTCAGGCCCAGCAGGGCGCCCTGAAGCGAGTGCTACCGAGATGGGGACTGGTGGGCAGGAAGTACTGGGCCCCGGCAGCACCCACCCGATGGGGGTCAGGCCTGCTTTGCTGGGGGTGGGGGCCTGAGCTCGCCTGTCAACCTCACACCCCCATGCACGGCGCCTTCTCAGCAGCTTCGCTCCTGACTGCAACAAATTGAAAACAACCTAGACATCCTTTGATAGGGCACTGGATAAATCAAATGTGGCGGCTCCTTCTGATGGGTGGCGTGGCGATGCAGGACCCGGAGGGAGGGAGGAGAGGCAGGGGACTGATGAGACTGACGCTGCGTGGGGACCCTGCCCAAGAGGTGACCCTGCCCAAGAGGCAAGCAGGACCCGGAGGGAGGGAGGAGAGGCAGGGGACTGATGAGACTGACGCTGAGTGGGGACCCTGCCCAAGAGGTGACCCTGCCCAAGAGGCAAGCAGGACCTGGAGGGAGGGAGGAGAGGCAGGGGACTGATGAGACTGACGCTGCGTGAGGACCCTGCCCGAGAGAGGCAAGCAGGACCTGGAGGGAGGGAGGAGAGGACGGGACTGGCGCTGTGTGGAGACCCTTGCCGTGAGGCCGCAGAGACCGCGGGCGGGGGCTGCGTGGGGGTGGAAAAGCAATTAACTTTATCTGTAACATTTTGATTTATGTCAAAAACAGGAGAACAGCACTACAGAACAGGCTGTCCATGATGCTTAACGCGAGAGGGTGGAACAGCCGCACGCATTACCGCATGCTGAGGTGTAGCTCCGAGGCCCTCAGCAATCGCTCAGGCCCACCTCTCACTCGACAGGTGGGGACACTGAGGCCAGAGAGGAGGAGGAGCTCAGCCTGCAGGGACCTCAGAGCACGCTGGTCCTACCAGCTCAGAGACAGCTGCCCAGCTCCACTCCCCCACGGCCCGGCGAGGGTGGCAGCCAGCCTCCTGTGTGGGTGTGAGGACGCTCCCCAGGGCATGGGGAGCCAGCACCCAGGGGCAGCTCCGGGTCAGGGGACGGCCCCTTCCTCTGCCAGCTCCCCCCATGGCACCGCCACCCAGCACACCCAGCGACGCCAGCGACGTCACAGCCAGTAACCTAGATTTTAACCAAGAAATCACACACCCCCTTTCTCTGCCCCACTTATGGGCTTGCTGAACAGAAAAACCACGACAAGAAACCCAGACTGTGGCATCAGAGCCAAACTGTATGGCAGGTGGGCGGGAGCAGGCCTGGCCCCCCGGCCGCCCACTTGCCACCACGCTGGCGTCGCCAACACCTGTGCAAAAGCAGAGACTGCCTTGCAGCAGCCACGGCCTGGACAAGCCCTAAAGGAACATGGCCTTGGGGGCGTCCCCGGCCCTCAGCCTCAGCAGCACTCTGTACCTCATCTAGTCTGAGGATGGGGGAGTTGGAGGGAAGGCCTCGCCAGAGCGGCCGTCTCCCATCCAGGACTCCAGAGCCTCTTCTGGCTGCTGTCCTGCCGGCTCCCTGAAAACACGTCAAGGCAGGTGGGCGTGAGGGCTCCTAGCTGACCAAAGTCCAGGTGACATGAGGGCTTAAGGCTGACCAGGCACCCAAGGGCAGATGCATGGGACAAGTCACCAGGCTCCACCTTGCTCTCAGCAAACCCAACACCCAGCCCTGCTTCCCATCACCCCAAACACACCGGGGCCCAAGGTCACCCTGGAGCAGCGGGGGGCTGTGCAGGGAGGACTCTGGGAAGATGTTTGGATGCATCGGGTCTGTTCCTAGTTCCATGGTGTAGCTCCCTGACTCATAGGCAGGGCACTGTCTGGCTGCCATCATTGGGGGGAGTCCTCAGGGACTGCAGGGGTGCCCAGCCTGTCTCGGGTTCTGTCCCAGAACTGGAGACCAGGAACAGAGCCAGCCCCTTCCCAATAGGGGCCCTGGGTGGGCCTTAGGAGCCTTCCCCAGCAGCCTCTGGCCAGTCCTGCCTCCCCTGGGGCAGTTATCGGCAGGGGCAGACAGAAGTTGCACACGGGGAAGGCTCCCCGGAGGCCTCAGCCGGCCAGCGCAGGAGCACTGACGGCCAGCACAGCCTCTGCGGTGAGCCGGAACCTGTGTGATCTGCCCTTCGGAAGGGCCAATTCAGTAGCTAGCATAGTGTCTGCTCTCAGGAACAACCAAGCCCTACCCCTACCACTAAAAGAAAACCAAAGCGGTGAGGCCCAGATCTAGGTGGCCTGTGAGCTGGCATTCTGCGGAAATCATGCAAACACAGCAATATGCATTTAAATAAAGTAAGGCGTTCTCAGGAAGACACCGTGGAGCCCAGAGCACCTGCTGGGAAGGCAGTGGCTTCTCCTGCAGGCAGAGAGGGAGGCAGGTTGGCTAACACAGGGGCCACCCTGCTGTCCAGGCTGTGGTGCACAGGGGTGCAGAGATCCAGCTGTCCTAGGAGTCCAAGCTAGCGGGTGGTCCCGGCCCCCTTTGCCCCATCAGCACTGCAGGAGGGGAAGGGCAGGCGGGCGTCCCACCAGGGCTCGAGGATATGTATGGGGTAGAGCGAATCCCCACGCTGCCCCTCGGGGTCACCACCTGCCCGCTGCTGGCACTATGTGCCCAGGCCACTGCACACAGCCCAGACATACAGTCAGGTTGCAGGAACACTGGCTCCCAGGCCCCAACTGTGGGACTCTGCCCAGCAAATCCTCAACAGTCTCCAGACTGTAACCCGGGAACCTCAAATTAGGGCAACCTTTTGGGTCCCAGAGGGGGAGCAGCTCTCCTTGAAAGGAACGAGGAGGAGTGGGACAACCACTGACCCGGCTTGGCTCAGTGGGCACTTCCAGGTCTGTCCCTGATGCAGAGCCTGGAGAGGCAGCGGCAAAGGGGCTGGGTGGAGGGGAATCTCCGGACCTCGTGGGTGAGATACAGGCTAAGGTTAAAGGGAAAGGAGGTGGACCCTCCCGGACACCGTGTGGTGCGAGGCCCTTCACAGACGGGGCATGTGAGCCCTCGGACAGGCCCCTGGGCCACGGAAGCCTGCAAGACCCTTCCTACAGGCTGGCAGTCACCCAGGAGCTCCTGTGTCACCCAGCACCAAGTCAGGACCCTGTGGTGACAGAGCTCTGCCACCTCATCCGGGCTCAGTGGGGGGCTCCCCTGTGGCCCCCGAACTAACACCCAAGGCCCAGTGACCTCCTGAGCCGCCCGGGTCCCAGGCATGCCCCGCTTCACAGCCAGGTGACTGCGCATTACCTGCGTAGCTGCCGGAGGCCTTGATGTACATCTGGCCGTACTGCTCCTCCACCATGGTGTCATAGGCCTCATCATCCTCCTCGTCGTCCTCGTTGTGGTACGAGGTGGGGCTGTCAGTGGTGGGCAGGCTGCTGGCGCCCGGACTGGTCCGCTCCCCCTGGGGGTAGGGCACCTGCTGGATGCCGGGGATGAGGGTGGCCAGGCTGGGCACCCCATAGTAGGAGACTCGGGGCAGTTTGAGAGGGGCTGCGCCTGCCGCGACCGCGGCCCCCGAGGCCACCGCCACACCGTCCCTGGGCCCCGTCTCCAGCGGGCGCTTAGGTGCCAGGCCTGGGCCGGCAGCCGGCGGCAGCTCCATGGCTTCATGCTTGACGCGGGTCAGCAGCGGGATGGGCACCGAGGGGGACACGACGTAGGGGGCGGCGGCGGCGGCGGCCGGCTGCAGCTGGTTGCAGGGACTCTGGGGTTCGGAGCCGGCGTCCTCGATCACGGCGGTCTGCGAGTCGCAGTGGGGCGAGCTCACCTTGAACATGAGGTCGGTGCCGCGCTCCACGATGTGCTGGATCTGCAGGAAGCCGGCCGTGTACATGACCACGAGCTGCTCGCTGGCCGTCATGGTGAGCCTGCCCGTGTAGCAGAAGGACAGGATCTGCTGGAAGCAGGCGGGTGGCACGGAGCCGGGCAGCTCGAAGGCGCTCTTGCTGTTGCCACTGAACAGGTCGCGGAAGTAGAGGCTGCTGGCGGCCAGCACCGCGCGGTGGGCCTTGAAGGCCTGGCCCTTGACCACGATGGACACATCGCAGTAGAGGCCCAGCAGGCGCTGCTCGTTCAGGCAGCCCAGCACGGTGTTCCCGAAATTGGGGATCTCGATGTGCAGCATCTGAGACATGGCGCGGGCGGGCGGGCGGGCGGCAGGGCTGGGCTCTCAGCGCGGGGCGGCCCTAGCGGGGCTCATCTGCAGGGCAGGAGGCACGTGGTCAGTCTCCACCACCCGGGGCAAAGGCTCCCGCCCGAAGGGCCATTCCCGCACTCATCCCCTGCCACGGGGCTACAAAGAGCGAGCCTTCCCGCCACCCTCCCCGCCCCTCCCAGCTGGGACACCCCAGAGAAGGGACTGGGGTCTATGAGACCCCCTGGCTGAAGGGCAAGATGGCCCGGCCTGCGCAGATGCAGACCCCCGACGGCGCTGCCCGCCAGCAGCGCTTCCACTCCACTCCTGGGGGGCTGCTCTCAGCGACCAGGCCTCAGCAGGCGAGAAGGAAGCAGGCCCGGACCTGCCCCGGGACAGCAGACGGGAGGCGGGGGAGCGGGGAGCAGGGAAGTGGGGGTGGATAGGACGCCCCTTGGCAGCTTTGCAGCCACTTTCTGCCCCTCAGAAAAGTTCCAGCCCGCACAGGAGCCCCTGGCCGCGCTGCCTGCCCGGGAGGGGCCCCGCTGGAGCAGTGGCCAGGGCGGGGCGGGGGGTCTCTGGAGCGGTACAGTTAGCGGTTGGCTTCTTTTCCCCTCTTCCTTCTGGGCAGCCTCTCGGAGGGCCCTTGGGGGGAAGGCGGGCCGGCGTCCCCGGATCCCCCCGAGGCTCCCGGGCAGGTGGGGAGGGGCTGGGGGCTCCGAGAAGTCTGCGGAAGCGGCGTCCACTCCTCCCCCGCGCAGAGACCACCCTGGGTGCGCCCGCTCCGCTCTCCAGCGTGTTCCCAGGTCCCCGCGCCGCCGCCAGAGCAGGAGTTGGGAGCCTGTCGCAGCCCCACTCGCGGACGCCCCCGCTCGCCTCGCTCCCCACGCGGGCCAATCCCGACCAGCCCGGCCCCGGCCCAGGTGACTCGGGGGTCCCCGCCCTCGCCGGGCTGCCCGGACCCCGGGGCTGGGAGCTGGGGCGGGCGCCGCTGTTTATCCGGCGCGGACTCCGCAGGGGGCGGGGGCGGCCCAGAAGGCGCCGGCCCAACTCCGCAGGGCCGCACAAAGGCCGCTGTGTCCCGCGGGAGGAAAGTGCGGGCGGCCGCAGAGGCGCCGGGCGGCGGGAGGAGGGCGGAGCCACCGCGCGGGGAGCCGGGCAGGTGGACGCGCGCCGGGGGCGGCCCGCAATGCCCCCGCTGCGGAGAAGTTGCCGTCCGGGCGGGGAGACCTACCTTCCGCCACTGCCCGCTCGCCCGGCAGGACAGGCTCCCCGCACGCTCCAAGCCCAGCCCGCCTGCCCAGCTGCTCCGCGAATGCAGCAAACGGCGCGGGAGCCCTGGGGCGGGGAGGGCGCGGGGAGGGCGCGGGGAGCCGGAGGAGGAGGAGGAGATGGAGGAGGAGGAGATGCAGGAGGAGGAGGAGGAGATGCGGGAGGAGGAGGAGGAGGAGGGCAGAGCGCCTGGGCGCCGGGCTCGCGGCCGCAGCTCAGCTGCACCCAGGCCGGCCCTCCCGGGCAGCGCAGCGCATCTCAATGAAGGGGCCGGATGCAGACGAACGTTCCGGCGGCTCGGGAATGAATAGCCGCCTTTGATTTGGGAGCCGAAGTAAATGCCAGCTCCCAGCCCCGGCTTTAAAAACAGTGGAGTGTTGGTGCCAGAGGAATGCGCGGCCCGGGTGCTGGTACGACACAGACTTTTGATGACTCACTGCAATGCAAACAAAGATGGCAGAAATACTGTACAGTAGGGGAGAATGCTTCCCGGTGCCACGGCAACTGAGACGGCCTGGAAATTTATGGTGCAGTTTTGCATATGAATTACCCAGTAAACTGCCTCCCGGCCTTCCAGGACAGCCCCGGTGTCAAAGCATTTAAACTATTCCAAACAGTCTGCAGAGCTGGCAGAGCTCAACTCCTCCAGCGCGGGCGGGCGGGGATGGGCAGGGGTGCCGGGGGAGGGGTCGAGGAGTCAGGACAGTTGTGGGGAGCCAGGTGAGGGAGGGGAGCCAGGGAAAGCGGGGGGGGGGGGGGGGGGTACAGCAGGGGGTGAAGAGAGGCACAGAAACAGCAGGCGGCTGGTGGGCCAGGCAGCACCCCAGGTCCTGGGGGCCTCAGAGCTGTGTCCTCTGCCCAGGCGGTAGGCCCGGCAGTCCAGCCCCAGCACCCCTCCCCGCGTTCTCCTGGCGCTTTAAAAAAAAAAAGAGCGACTTTGTGGCTGGGCAACCAGGAGCCGGAAGGGGCAGCCCTGCCTGAGAGGTCCCAGCAGAGAGCAAAGCAGCTGCCCGCTCCTCCCGCACTCCCCGCTACTCCCGGCAGCAGCCACGCAGCCTCCCGGCAGACCCACTGCTCAGCCGACACCAGCTGCACCTCCTGCCCAAGAGGTCCACAGCGTCTGGCCCTTACTGAGTCTTTTCCTGGGAAGGGGCTGCTGTGCAGGGCCTGTGGTGGCCCCGGGACCCCTCCAGAGAATGTGCACCTCATCCTGGGCTCACACTACCCTCTGCTAAGCTGCGTGGGGCCCTGGGGCTGACCTCTGGACTGCCTGGCCTCAGTTTCCCTGCTGCCAGCTGTGACCCCAAGGAACAGCACATTCCACCCAGAAGAAGGGGCTGGGTCCAGGCTGGAGGCTGCAAGGTGAGCCCCTCCGGCCTGAGCAGCCGCCTCCACCACCCTCAGGGTAACGCTGGTAGCAGTATCCGGAAGAGTTCCGAACAGGCCTGGTGGGAGGCAATGCGACACCACCCTGCCCCTCACTCCCGGCGTCCCTCTGAGGCATCCGAGACCAGAGAGAAGGCCATCTGGCTCCTCCCTAGTCACACACCGTGGGCTCAGCTTCTCCAGATCAGACAAAAAGCCACCGAATGGGGATGGGAAGAGATCCAGGTGCAGGGAAGCTGCCAGGCAAAGGCCTTTGGAGGTGGCTTCATGCCGGGTGTTTTCTGCCTCCTACAAGGGGCTGGTGCCGACTCAGGGGGACGGGGGCATCTACAGAAACATCCCCTCTCGGCCACTCTGATGAGCTGGGCCACCCCACCGGCCTCAGCCCCGCTGCCCTCCCTGCCATGCCCGTCACCCTCAGGTCCCCACCTAGTTGCTGCCTCCTCTCCCAGAAGTCTGCCAAGTGTCCTGGTGAGCTCGGCGAGGGCTGAATGCTGGACACAGCCCAGGTGGTGGGTACAGGAGAGGGGCCTGTGCCACCCAGTGACACAGTGCAGAGAACAGAGGCCCCCGAACGGCTCCCTTCACAGACCCATTGCTTCCACCACCAGGAGCCTCCCAGAGAGCCCATGGCTTCACCCCAAGGACAGGGGGTAGGGATGTCTGAGTCAGACAGGGGCTCTTGTACCATGAAAGGGGACAGGGAGAGGCCAGCACAGTGCACTGGCTCCTGGAGTCCCAACTGCCTGTGCTGGGCTGGCCAGCAGCCAGGGCTGACACAGAGAGCAAGGGACAGTGTGGGCTCTCCGCCTGTCCCTTCCAGCAGCAAGAGGGTCCTGGCCTGTTGTCCAGGTTGGAATTCTAGGTGCTGTGAGCACCAGCCACTTCCTGTAAGGACACCGCAGCCCTGGACGCTGAGCTGTGAACTGGGGTTAAAATTTACCCTCAGATGGCTCCTGGGGGTGAATGGAACAAGTTTGTGAAGCCCGCAGCTGCAGGCTTACCCAGAGGAAGCCGGTGAGGCCTGCAACCTGCTGTGACCTGGGTGGGACAGCAGCACTCAGCCTGGCGTCCAGGTGGGCGTCTTGGCCTGCGTCCACAGCTCAGGGGCTGGAGCCCCAGGGCTTGGGGCCAGACCAGCTCTCTCAGAGAAGGGACCATTATTCCCTTTGAAGGTGATGGGGCCGTGTGGTCCCTGGAGATGGAGGACAACTGGCGCTTTTGCTGCCTTGTCCTCAGGCCACCTGCACCGGTGAGGCTGCAGCCCCACACCCCAGCCAGCCGAGAGCTGGGCAGGAGCTGGTTTTAGGTTGCTTTCTTGGAAGGCTTAAGAACAAAGCTGAACTTTAGGAGAAAAGAATAAAATAAAGGCTTGGCTCAGGCCTTTGGGGCCAGGAAAGCAGACTCCATGGGGAGCTGACCCGCCTGCTGCAGCCAGAGAGGCCCGAGGGCCCGGGTGGGCCCAGGGATGTGAGCAGGGCTGTTTGCTGAGGAGGGCGGGGCCCAGCCTGGCCCCAGACACCAGGGCTCCACACCCTTTTCTGCACAGTGGAGTCAGCCCTGCCCAGCACCACATTCTCTGGTGACTCAGTTTCCCCACTTTGCTTCCCAAGCAATACCTCCTATTCTGTTTCCCCACCTCACCATGAGATTCACCACACCCATGCGCTTATGGGAAGTTCTGCAGGGCCAGGCAGGAAATCAGAGGCCACCAATTCTGTTTACCCCAGCCATCCTCAGAGTTGCGGCACCAACCCCCTCGCTCTTGAGATGCCCTTCAGAATGGAACCCACTTTGGGAAACCTCTGCAGATGACCGAGCTGGAGTCCAGCCCCTGCAGCTGTGCCCCGCCCGACACAGACACACACAGGGGCCTCCCCCAGGAGGAAGAAAATACGGCTGGCTGGGCGGGGGAGTCTCTTCTCTGCAGAGCCTGACTTGAGGAAGGCTGAGATCCAGGCCGGGCCTGCCGTGGGGTTAGGGGTCATCAACCATGATGAGCCCCACACCCAGCAACAGGCCGGTGGATACGGGAGCCCTCGGGGAGGACAGGGGCTTGCTGGAGCCAGAGCCGGACGTATGGGTTGGGGCGGCGTCTCCAGAACATACCCCTGCCTGAGTGTCTTCCTAGCAGGATTCACACAAGGACACAAGTTTCCATGCTGGTGCCAGGCCAGGGAACCTGGGTCCCAGCATCAAGTACCCAGGAGCAGAGGCTCCCGCAGGTACAGGTCCCCTGAAGGCATCCCCCAGCCCAGAGGACTGGGACAGGGACCAGCTGGCAGTCCCACAGCAGGAACCCCTTTCCCAGGACCCAGCCAGCGGGCTCCAGGGCTCCAAGGTGTGAAGGCCTCATCCAGAGTCCCCAGAAACCCCACGCCCTCCACCCACAGATTCTAAAGCACTTCCTAAGCCGGGCATAGCAAACTAGAGGAATGCAGCCCTGAATTTCCGCAGATCACCGCCAGCAAGGGGAAGGGAGGCGAGAGAAATTAAATTAAATTAACTTGCAGGATTTAATTTTACCAATCTAATAAAGAGGTTCTGGACCTCGGCAAATGCACAGCCATTAAACACATGGTAGAGGAAGGGGAGAGACGGGGCTTGGGAGGTGTTCTGCAGAGGAGCGAGCCCTCTATCCCCTGTACCCCCAGCCAGGCCCGCTCTTAAGCAACCGTGCCCCAGCCCCTCATGGAGACCGCCTGGCAGAAAGTGAGGACATCTCCTAAAAGGTCAATCGAAGGGGCTCCTGGAGCATGCGGTGGTGTGGGCATGGGGCGGGCTGGCTGTGCCAGCTGCTCTGGAGTCAGCAGGAGCACACAGGGTGTCAGGAACGAAGCCTGGGAGCTGCTTCCCCAGGGACCTTGCCCGCCTCAGAGCGATGCCTTCCCTTTCCTACACAGCACAGGGGCCCCAGGGGGATGTTCTTTGACCCCACACCTTTGGATGAAGGGCACTAAGGGGGACAAGGGGCAGCAGGGGCCCCAGAGGTTAACCCTGGGGGGTAGAGGCGGCCCAGCTCTGGGTGTGCCAGGGCGCCAGGGAGCTGGGCGAGGCACCAGCTTAGCCCTCAGGTTTGCATTAAACTTTTAAGACACCAGAAAGCAGAGCTGGGCTGCCCAGAGGCCTGGCTGCTAATGGAACCACCAGCTCCAAGCAGATGAGATGCAGGAGCTCTAGGGCAGGGCCCTCAGCGGCCAGGAACTCCCCCCACCCCCACCCCCACCCCGCGGCCCCCACACAAACCAGGATACTGTGTGCCATGTGATCACC